AGGAAGGTAATGGTTATTCTGTAGTTAGTTACAAAACTGGAAAGGTAAAGGTTATCCCTTAGCTGGTAACTTAACAAGGAAGGTAAAGGTTATTCCTTAGCTGGTAACTTAACAAGGAAGGTAAATGTTATCCCTTAGCTAGGTAACTTAACAAGGAAGGTAAAGGTTATTCCTTAGCTGGTAACGTAACAAGGAAGGTAAAGGTTATCCCTTAGCTAGGTAACTTAACAAGGAAGGTAAAGGTTATTCCTTAGCTAGTTACAAAACTGGAAAGGTAAAGGTTATCCCTTAGCTGGTAACTTAACAAGGAAGGTAAAGGTTATTCCTTAGCTAGTTACTAAACTGGAAAGGTAAAAGTTATCCCTTAGCTGGTAACGTAACAAGGAAGGTAAAGGTTATCCCTTAGCTAGTTACAAAACTGGAAAGGTAAAGGTTATCCCTTAGCTGGTAACTAAAATGAAGATAAAGGTTATTCCTTAGCTGGTGACTTAGGTGGAAAGACATTATTTAGCTGGTACCTAAATTGGGTGCATCTTATGAATTAATACCGATATGGAGTCAAATTTTGTTTTACTCTCGTTTTACATTCGAGTGAAAAAGAAACTGTTTGTCAGGGCTTCATATGAAAGAATATATGACTTCGTTATTTCAACCAATATGTTTTTTTTCAGGCTATGTTTGCGTGTTGCTGTTCTACAGGAATTTAATCAAGTTTACAGATCGCCTTCATGAGTGTCGTGCAGACTACCAGAATAACCACACAAACCGGCACTATCACATGTAAATCTGTTATGTCGATCACACATGGCAATGCCGATATTTCCAATTCGTTTATCAAAGTGATTTATATTTGCAATTAATAATCATTTTATGAGGCTTGTTATCTTCAGAAACATAATATTCCGTGGAGCATGAAATTCGTTGTGGGAAGTGTCAACTACTATATTAGGTAGGAAACGGTGATGTCTGTATGGTTTAGTGTAGGGTTTTATCTATGGTAGGAAATGGGGATGTCTGTATTGTTTAGTGTAGGGTTTTATCTGTGGTAGGAAATGATGATGTCTGTAAGATTTAGTGTAGGGTTTTATCTGTGGTAGGAAATGATGATGTCTGTAAGATTTAGTGTAGGGTTTTGTCTGTGGTAGGAAATGTTAATGTCTGTATGGTTTAGTGTAGGGTATTTTCTGTGGTAGAAAATGATGATGTTTGTATGGTTAAGTGTAGGGTTTTATCTGTGGTAGGAAGTGGTAACAGTTACATTAGGTAGGAAATGGTGATGTCTGTATGGTTTAGTGTAGGGTTTTATCTGTGGTAGGAAATGGTGATGTCTGTATTGTTTAGTGTAGGGTTTTATCTGTGGTAGGAAATGGTGATGTCTGTATGGTTTAGTGTAGGGTTTTATCTGTGGTAGGAAATGGTGATGTCTGTATTGTTTAGTGTAGGGTTTTATCTGTGGTAGGAAATGATGATGTCTGTATGGTTTAGTGTAGGGTATTTTCTGTGGTAGAAAATGATGATGTCTGTATAGTTTAGTGTAGGGTATTATCTATGGTAGGAAAGGTAACAGTTATATTAGGTAGGAATGTGCGTATGGTTTAGTGTAGGGTATTATTTGTGGTAGAAAGTGGTAACAGTTATATTAGGTAGGAATGTGTCTATGGTTTAGTGTAGTGTATTATCTGTGGTAGGAAGTGGTAACAGTTACATTAGGTAGGAAGTGGTGATGTCTGTAAGGTTTAGTGTAGGGTTTTATCTGTGGTAGAAAGTGGTAACAGTTTTATTAGGTAGGAATGTGTGTATGGTTTAGTGTAGGGTGTTATCTATGGTAGGAAGTGGTAACAGATATATTAGGTAGGAAGTGGTGATGTCTGTAAGGTTTAGTGTAGGGTTTTATCTGTGGTAGGAAATGGTGATGTCTGTATGGTTTAGTGTAGATTTTATCTGTGGTAGGAAATTATGATGTCTGTAAGGTTTAGTGTAGGGTTTTATCTGTGGTAGAAAGTGGTAACAGTTTTATTAGGTAGGAATGTGTCTATGGTTTAGTGTAGGGTTTTATCTGTGGTAGGAAGTGGTAACAGTTATATTATAACTTTCTAACAAGCGGTATAATAAGAGTAATGATTTCAATTTCCCTGATGTGAATTTTCTATTTCTGGATAGCAACGTTGATTACCAATCTATGGTGTTTACATGGCGCTTGTCCCAAATAAATGACATACGCATAATACATGGTCTATTGGGGAAAATTCTATTTCCTTCTGCGATAATAAGATGGGATGTGTTTGATACTCTTTCATATGCCTGGTTTTACCGTTGTTGATTATCTTATTGGTCGTTGAAGAAGAAGACTCTTACCCATCCGACGTACTTGGTGTTCTCATTGTTCTTTGTTCAGGAGTCTCCGTGTAAATCCTTCGTTGTTTAAAGTTTCAGCGTAGTGTCGTCGAACTGAAGTTTGAATTAGTATTCTTTTGACATGTCGGTAGTTTTTTTGTTTTTCTCGATTGAAACCTTGGGGTCACCAAATGCTCACAAGACCATGCGAACCGACATGTACTGCTTCAACGACGGCATTACATATCAAAATATTGTCATGGTTCCAAATGAATATTGCTAATCAATACAAGCTTACTTTAAGATTAACATCAAGATAATACCAACATGTCAACAAAATCATAATCCGGACTAAAATTCAACAAAACTTTGACAAAGTATGAAAACACATGGAGAATAAGACCAGATGTTGCGGAAATGTAAGCGTCTTTTGAATATGTGAAATGAAATATAAAAATAATGATATAATAATATTCTATTATCAATGACACCAGTATTTTTCAACGACTGGAAGAGTATGTGTCCCTAGCTCCGTCTCGCGCATCTCATTGACGGATTCGCCCTAAACACCATAGAATTGCAAAAAGTAGCAATAGTATTGAGGGCCTGATCATAAGTTATAATATATATATATTGACATTAATAAATGTAGTATGAAATCGATACGGTACAGTGTTTCCATGCTCTTTTTGGAACTGAAGCAGTGTTAAGATTGCCTTGAAAAAACATCAGGGAAGATACCTAACACCAGGTATAGACTATATGTGTTTGTTGGTTGATCGTTTGGCTGTTTAGTTTGTTAATGAATGGTTTGGCTTCATATTGTCAACATACGAAGTATGAAATTAATAATATTGATGAGTAAACCTCGATAAGATGTAACTGATATTCTTATTGGTTCTTATCAGTTTCAGTTTATTTCATAACCATAAATTTACAGCACCGTTTACTTTTCTTGAAAAAAGGTTATCGTAACAAGAGAACGGAGGCGTTCGGTCAGTTAAGAATGGGGTGTGGTGGAGTGCAGGATGGAAAAATCAAATGTTCCTAGGAAAGAAACGTTGTTAAGATGAGGGTGTTGAAGGTTGGTCAAAAACTGTTGAGAACTCTTTAAAATCCACATACTATTAATTCATCTTCTTGAGTAAACAGTATTACAATAAGACTATAACCAAGATTGATAGTGCTAAGTATCGTAGTAAGTAGATTTCACAAAGGTTTGATTGAACAACTCGACGAGACAGAAATAAAACGCTGTTTATACGGATTTCAGGAATTCAACATAAGCGGAGGATGTCCGTATCCCTATCATTAATAGGCGATGTAAATGATTATTGTACCTAACCAATCAGCCAGTATTTCTACTTTTTGGAATACTACATTGTGTATAGGCGGGAATCCCTTCGTTATCAAGGTGAGACGCTTCTGAGACTATATAATCAGAGAAATTTTAGTTATCCTATACCTTGGTTTAAAACTAGGAAATTCCACTTACAAGCCTGATCATCAACAGTAATCGACAATATGTAAGTGGATGTAATCTCACGCCTCTTTTCAGTGCAGAGTCAGTCTAGGCCTTTTAAGTTTCGAGACAATAAATTACTTTTGAGTTTTCAAGGTTTGCAATTGAATTAAAAATCGACATTTTACTACCTTATGTAGCACCTTTCAGTTGATTTATTTGATAAATCCCTCTGTTTAATTGAACACGTAAAATGAGTTTCTGGAGAGGTCAAGAGGATAAACATGACCGCTGTATAGCAATGTAATTAATGGAGATGCCACCATGATAAGCATCAATGCCTGTGTCATAACCTGCTCCAGGTACACTACACGTAATTGCTCATTTCAATGAACCTTCATTATTTTCAACAACTAGGAGCTTGTAAAAGCTGTCAAGAACAGACCTTGATTAATGTTGATAGTTTATGTAAATGGAATCGATAGACAATTCAATCTTCCATCACCAGTGGCACCTGGACAATCAATAATGATACCAGCATGGGTGTGTCAGTGTGCGCGGGACAGAAACAGCAAATCTACAGGCGGCGAACGTTTTCAAAATCTGCAACATCAGTGTGCCTTACAAGAAAATGCTGAAATACCATGCGATGTTTTGTGTTTTAACAAAATACAAGGATTAGTCACAGAAAAACTATCTATTCTGATATTAAGAATAGTTTGTGAGCAATAGTATCGATTTGAAAACAGATTTTCCGTTTATTTCAAATAGTCGCCAAGCTTGAATTTGTAGTTATGATTAAATGATGGGGGAAAACAAGTAACGGAACAAAAATACAGCTGACAACGGCTCAAGGTAAGGTATTTAAGTCATTAATTTGAATGCAACATCACTTTTAGATATCAATCACTGATATAGAGAGAATTTCTCTTCGGCAGGGAAAAGCCGTTGTTTGTTATTTTGCTATAGTGGTTTTTTTTTTTTTTTTTTTCGACAAAATACAGTTCTATTAAATGGCGTCTTATAAACCAAATCGATTCCGTCAGTGTGCGTGTTTAGGAAATAATTAAGATGTTAAAATGCAAGTAGAATTGAATTTTCAATCGTTCTTTGTGATGCCTTGTATGAAGTTGATTAAATCGATATGTGCGCACAACTCTGAAGAATGGGTTTCTGATTACAGGTATCCAGCTGTAAAAAGACCATGTTGTGGACACTGATGACTTTCAGTAAGTGTAAACTTCTTCACATGAATATAACAACCACTGAAGTATCTATATCCGATCCCTTTTTCAAACCACTATATACAATACAGTGTTTGATTTTTCAATGTTCTACTTTTCAATTAAACTATATATATATTTGTACAAAAGCCACAAAAATGGAAATCACTTTCATGCATGCTATATTTCAGTTGTCCGCAAAATGATATCAGAAAACACATATTCTTCATTAAATAATGATTATTTTTGTTTTCGCTGGTTTGTAAACTAAAATGAAATACATTGTCTTATCTCATGAAACACATGTAACACATGTAGGATAGAACAACAGAAAAGAATAAACGCAATAAACGAAATACGATTCAGTTCAATTGATTTACGAAAGATTAATATGATTTAAATTTCCATGGATAATATGTACGTGCGAATAAGATCACGTGATTCAGAAGGGTAAGCAAGTTTATTTTTATCTATAGGTTTGCTCTGTGCTGCATGTGATATTGTTCAAGGCTGGATAGTTGCACCCAGTGCTTTTACAGTTTTCCGAACCAAATATTCCTGGAATGAAGCGAGACAAATATGTGAAAACAACAACAATACTCTTCTAACAATCCCTGATGAACAATATTGGGCCTTCTGGAAGTTTGTGTTGTGAGTATGCAACGTAAACACAAAACACATGGTGATAATATGATACTTCTTGTTATCGTCTATTTTAAAGGGAAACTCATTTCACAAAAATACAACGTTAAAACTAAAACTTTTTTTAAATACTTATAATACAAAACATTACTAATCTTCATCAGTACAGAATATTCAAGATGGTGTTACAACGGAGGAAATCTTCAGCATACGATTACAACTTGTATGTAGTAACAATTGCAATTGCAGTTTAATCACTAATGAAATAAATATTAATTAATTCCTGAAACATATCTGTAAACGGGAGAACTGTTCTTGCATGAATTATCACTTTTATTTTATCTTTATGTGCCTATACTCCTTGCTTACAATGGCATAAAAAGAGTTAAAGCTCGTGTAATAAAGCACATCTTCTTTGCCAATTTACCTTCACCACAACTCTTTATGATTATCATTGAATGCTATTGGTTGGCCGATCAATTACTAAAGCCTATTTCTATCAATGGCATGTGATGTCCAAAACACGCTAATTTTATATCAAATACAAACACCTTTCAATAACCATAATGATATCAAACGAGCAGAATCAACAAAAACTAGGACAATTCACCGTGAAATTGACACCCATTTGCATTTAATCTAGCACCCATGTCAACATTGTCATTAAGCTATCCGGTTGAAATGAATTAAAAATGAGTTTATAGGATATGTTATATTCTAGATTTTAGGTATTCACAGTCAGGATATTTGCTGCGTGTTTTGAATTAAGTCTTAATTGGTTCTGTTCTGGGCAGCTTTTATTCCCTCGATAATAATCTTTATTTGTTGAGTATAAAATACCTGTTTAGACAAGGGAAGCTCTTCCACATAACCCTCCTTTCAGTAAAACGCTTTATAAGTGAAAAGTTATGTAATAATACCGACAAATCATTAAAACACACATTTATCATTTCAAAAAGAAAGAATCTACAGCAAGTTTTATTTATTTCTAATTAATTATGAAAATTTAAAACACAAATTCCTACTCGACGCAAAAATGCAATAAAGGTTGAAGTAGTATGTCTGTTAAAGGTACGCATTTCTGATAGCACGACCATCAATATCGATATTCACATTCTATGTTCTGAAATTGTTTTTCAGATGCATATGCAGGAAAATGTGTGTTTTTGGGATATTAAAAAAATAAGACTTAAAACAGTGTGTCCTATTAACGCGAAATATATGTACGTTACGTAAATGAGAATAAAATAATATGATATTCGAGAATATAATGAAAACACTCAAATTCGATGAAACTAGGATAAAATATGAACAAAAGAATCATTTGCTCTGATAAGCTAGAAAAGGACATGGAGAAGAAGACTAGGTGTTCCAGAGGGGAAAATGTCTGCTTCACCAATGACTAAAGTAATCTGCATCTGAAAGGAAGAGAATTAGATACGTATTCCAAAGTGGGACGAGTGGCTTGCTGTTTTGTTGAATAGATAAAAACCTATTTTGGAACGTTTGAACAATTTCTTCGTGTTGGTAATATCAATAGAATAGAAGTTTTTTATAACATAACCAGTAGAAGATTAGAGTAGTGTGATGGTTCAATGATTACACAATCACCTTCATAAATAAATTACCTGTGTGGAGCGTACTAGCACCAAAGTATGTAGTGTACGAGATGGTACGGAATCGACCAACATTTTCGGTTGCACTATAATTCTATGTACACTAAGGTCGATAATAGTGTAACGAGATGGTAAACAGGTCATAGACAAAAAAAATGTACCAGTGTAGTATATTGCTATCATCTGGTGTATTTTTCATGAAATCTGTTTCCTTATATTCGAAATATGTGTACATCGGATTATAGTACAACTGAAAAAGTTCGATTTCTTACCATCTCATACATTACGTACGGAAGCACTAGTCTGATGCAGGTGACCGTGTAGTCATAGAAACATCACACTCTAATCTTTTACTGGTTGTGTTATAAGAACTTCCATTCTACTGTAGAAATAAAACCTGGAAGTTTTGTTTAATTATTCATATTCAATATGTCGGTTTTTATCTGAATTTAATGCATATGAACAATATGATAGTTAAACAATGTAATACATGAAATTGTTTGTCACGAGATGTACCCCAACCGATGAATTGCAAATATAAGCCAAGCACTACGCTGTCGATTCCACTCCGCAATTGTTTTTTGTCGTTTAATTTTCATTTTTTGAAAGCTTTCACAAACGCTACTTCCTGTATAGATTTGTTTACAAACCATTTACGTGCTTTTACTAGCGTAACTTTTACCGAGGACCGTTGAATGCTTAAGTACACAATGATACCGGTAGTGATAGAAAGTATCAACAATTACTGATATAGATTAGTACATTTTACGTGGTGTTTGATTGAAACTGAGGTTATATTATAGGTCAGTATACTTCTGGATGAATAAAGCGGTTGTCTACACTCTCTAAGAATATTTATCAATGTTATCATCCATCTTTAGCAAAGGCTTATCATCATATTGTTTTGTACCGTTAAACAATTTAACTAGAATATTAACGCGAAAGAGGGAAGGGAAGAAAACTTGATATCGTTTTAGGATTCTCAACCTTATACCAATAGCTACATGTATCATCATCTATGGTTATTCTTGTTCCGCATACGAGATACAGATACTAGGGAAACGACCACAAATAACTGCCTTGGCACTGGTTCATACAAAGTTCGTGTGATTGTGCTGCTTGACTGAGATTGTAAAGAACTGTTTCCGGACCACTTGAATTCCAAGCTGGATATATCATATATCAATACTAAATGTACGTGTTTTATCACGTCATGGAAATGAGACACTGTGACTAATTATTCATATACATGTATGATATAACTATTTCTGACGCTTGCGGGGGTTTGTAATTAGAGATATGATAGTACATTCCTTCAATAAATATAATGTACTTATATAGGAACAGGTTTGTCGATATACCTTGTATTTTAGAGATAGATTTTATGTGTCATCTGCCCATGGAAATTTTTTTCTACGATGTAAAAACAAATAATTTCCACACGACCATTAAGAAAGATAACAGAAAGGGTATACGTATCTTTGCAAAAATCAAGGAAATACCGAAAAGTCAACAGATTGATTCAAAATGAAAGTCCATGAAAATAAGGGAAACCAAAAAGAACAAGGGGAAAATAGTAAAAGATGTTTCGGAATAGTAAGCGTCCTCTACTTCATTAAAATTAACGTTCATGCAATTTGTTGTCAATCCACATAAATAATGTTACGATCTCAAATGAGAACAGGGCTAATAACAATGGAACAACCAATATACTAACGAGCATCAGACACATCCAGCTTAATATCGCAAAAAGAAAAAGATACCAATGATATACTTTTCATCTAACTCCATCTCTCAAATCCCGCGTTGTGAGTTTGTCTATACCTTGCCGACGCCTTGCGTGCAAATCGTATTAGTGAGTACAAGCTCTTTGATATCGAATCAACATCGACATGCAAACGCCATATGTTTTAGATGGAGGAATGTTGCTATACAGAAATGGAAAAAAATATAGATTAAGTTCTAATGTCTTCCACATTACGTACTTTCGTTATTATTCTTGGTATTGTATGATATTATGTATTTTCATCTTGTCATCAATGTGTAAATCGTAGAAAAGTGGCTCAGAGCATTTGCTTTGCTTGTTTCTTCATCTATTCAGTTAATATCTGTTAAAGGTGGAAACATCGTAAAGGAAATTTATTGCATTGTGATGCTATTGTACCTACCCATCTAGATTCATCTTTCAACCACTGTATATTTTCCTCAGTTGCCTCCCTGTTTTCAAAATTTAGGCCCTCGGCATAACTGACAGTTCCTAGGACATCTGAATGGTGCAAAAAAAATCATTATTTGGTTTTGCTGTATCGAATTCTATTTTTGTATTAAAATGTGCTATTCACTTGTTTGTCTTTGTAAAAGTCGTGCAACTCTTTGGTTCCTACTGGCACGTTTCAAGCTAAATGTAGCCTACAGCAAACACACTTTTTATACCTATGACATTAAACATTGATTTTATGCCAATTACTGTTGTGTACTTATTCTGTGTTTAGACATTCGCAGTATTTGCGGCTAAAATATATAATTCAAAATATCTACTTACTCATTTGTCTTTAAGTCAGAAGCCAAAACATCAGTCAGATATAAAATGTTCATTTGCACACGTTTCGTATTTTAGAAACCCGGAAAGTGAAGCCCTTCACAGAGAAATGGGTAATTCTAGGTATTGGTTCGGTCTTCACGCCCCAGACTCCACCAACTTGTCATCACTCATGTGGGCTGATTGTGTCGTTCCCTCGTGGATAGAATGGACAAATGCTGGTCGAAACTATGTTCCAGAGCAACCTTGTTTGGCTTTCGACGTTTACTTCAAACCCTTTACAACAATACTTCTAAAAATTTGGTTGGCAGACAGCTGTTCAACTACTAACTACTTTGTTTGTAGTGAACCATTAACAGGTACGTTTTTTAGACTAATCTCAATCACTATAGGTCTTAAGAGGGTAATGAATAATGAGGCACGGAGAATCTTAACAACACCTCTTGGTATAAGGTTTTAAGATAGATAATTAACGTATATTTCACTCAAACTGGTTTGAGATTGGCATATATACAATGGATGACTTAATTAAGCAGGTAGACAATTTAATTTTTGATTTATTTGAAGAATTTGTAAACACATTCCATCTTAGCATCAATTTTCTCCATTATTATGTACAACATAGTTTACACTATCAAAGAATGTTGGAGAAATCATGATGTCTGTTTTGAAACAGCATCTCATCCATCTATCACAGTCCTTATAGAAATATTTTTCGAGAGTGAAAATACTGCCTTACTGCTCCAGGGTCATGTCCGTCTGGAGTAAGACAATGAAATCAGTAGTGTGAGTTCGATGATGAAAAGTGAAAAAAAAAAAATAAAGATACACTTTTCAGCTACTAAAATCTCCAAGTTGCAAGTTTCAAATTAGAATAATACATCACATCTTGGTAACTAAAACCTGCCTTCATAAGATAAAGCTTTATACCAACCCGTAAAGCTTTAATGTACTCTGTGTGATTTGGAGCAGGAGATAATAACCCAAGAACGCCAAGAGATTCAGACACTTCTACAGAGGTTTTGATATCTACTTTATATACATTTTAATTCATTGGCATAACAAAGACGCCTTTGCTTTTTGGATAGTTTCACCTATTCTGGAACTATATTTATACATTGTATGAGTAAGAGTGTTTCATTTATTAAAAGTTTGTTACATATACAAAGGCATGCAGCTTATAAACAAACATCCGTTTCATTGAATTTGTAACAATATTCATTTATTTGTTCATTCACTCATATGCCAATCCAGTTATGCCAATATTTCTATCATACATAGAGTACGGTAGCACATGGCCATCAAATCATGTTGTCTTATAAACTCTCTCTCTCTCTCTCTCTCTCTCTCTCTCTCTCTCTCTCTCTCTCTCTCTCTCTCTCTCTCTCTCTCTCTGTTTCTCTCTCTCTCTCTCGTTTCATTTAAATCAATCATTAGTAAGCCAAGAATAATGAATAATACATAACAAATGCTTTCAGGTATGAGCTTTACGTAATTAAACATACTTTATCTTGAGAAATCGTACCAGCTCTATTCATTACGGCCTTTCCTCCTTGAGAATTGTAGTCGTACTCCTACATCTGGTTATTGGAATCCTTCTTGTACAGTATATGATTGCGAGTGATGTAAGCCTCATATAAGTGTGTGTAAATTAATAAGATGCAAGTTCATATCTATAATACATGGACTTAACGATGAATTAAGTACACATGTACATTTCATACTTATTAAGGATGATGATGGTTTGATGGTGGCGATATACGAGTGCGAATGCGCGTTTATGTATTGTAACGTTTATACATATTATAATAAAAAAAAATGAAAATGCAAAAAAAAATTTTTAAAAATAAAAAAATGATGCTACTTCTAGGCTTGTTATAAACGATGTAATTATCGTTGTTATCGATCTGCATTTTCCAAGTTCAGAGAAGTAAGGTAATCCGTTTTATGATTGCATTCCTTGTAAGATAATACCTAGGGAAAACGAATATTACTTCTCTGAACATGGAAAATGCAGATCGGAAATGCATCTATCAGTTCATCAAGGAATTTTTTTGATAAAATAATAAGGATCCGACATCGTTTCATGACGTACAAACGTTTTGGAAAGTTTGCGTGCAGAGTGTGTGGTTTTGTTAATTACGGAATTTCGACTGATTAAAAAGCGGTAATTATCGTGGTTACATTGTTATAACATGCCAAATTGTCAAAACATGTGTTGCTAATGTATTCGTACGGTATTGCATTCAGTATAACTATAAGCATAAAGCACAGCATCACTACAAATGATTGACAACAAAATCTAATGAAAATAGAGAAGACAAGAAAACCCCATGAAAAAGACAGGTCTTTATCATTTACATTATCTAACACGTTGTCATCGGTCCATTCATATAATGTTGTATAGGTCACTGGTTATCTTAAACATATCTTGGATGAAAATGAATACACAGTCACTTCGAGATGGTTCGCGGTATCAATTTTGCGTTAATTTTCTTCGCTGTATGGTATTGGAGTCTTTCAAGAAGTACATAAGCTTTACATTATATTGTGTTATTCATTCATACTGTATATTTTGTTTCAGTGAGAAATGACACGTGTATTGCCCATGGATGTGACGAGCATGTCCATTTAGTAAAGGATAACACTGAATGTGTTAGTATGTGCAGCGCCGACACAAACTGTCGGACCAACTTCACGTTCATTTCGGGTTTGGGAATTTGTCACGTTTTCTTCCTGTCGCCATATCGTTCGAATTCGTTCTATCGAATATGTCTGTTAGTGGAAGACACTTCCGTAGATATCTGCTCTGACAGTAATGGTAAGTCATAGTTTATTTTTCATCAATTCAGCTGTTTATTAAACATTTTTATTCTTGAAATAAACGTTCGCCCTCGTTTCATTTCCCAAATCACCTTAAGTGACAAACTTTTGAAACAATATCATCTGATATCTGTGATAAAAAGGATACCCCTGAATAAGATCTCGACACGTTATGTCTCTTTTAACTGATGTTTATGAAAGCTGTTGTTGATGTGATACTGAGTCGTTTGATCTGTTACAGGATTCGGTGATATTGGAAATATTATCAATACAGGTCCGGACCCTGGTGGTTACTGTCTCGCGAGAGAGTCAACATCTGTACCAAGTATTTCATCAGGTATGTGTACAGACAACTGATGTTCATTTAACTGCAAATTATGGGGAAAAATAACAACTTTTTCACTAGTTAAACGTACTCATTTCATTCAGGGTCAGGATTGGTGGACCATACCTTGTAGATTGCAAAGTCCGCCATACACATAGCACATTACTACCACTGATTCAACGGTTCTGATTCTGAAAGTCGAGAACAATCATTCACGTTTAATTCTATTTATTTATTATCATTATTAAGTTATTGATATTTAACACACGTTAATGCTATGTAAAAATTGTTTGTATTTTATCAGTTGCAGAAGATACAACAAGCACCCCTGAATCGACAACACCTGTAGTCATGCCAACAACAGAGGTGTCCCGAACGACGGTAACGACGTCACAGCAAATGTGTGTATGTTCTTGTAACACTGCCAACCAACCGGAACTCACTATTGAAGAGAAAGTAGAACAGCTAAAAAGGGAACTCACAGTGAATAAGAAAAATACTTCCCTCCATAAACGTAAGTTTATCAGTGCCAGTGATGATAGAATATCTGCGACAGGGATAGGGTCGTTTGGTGTGGGAATGCTGGTCATTGTTCTGCTCTCTATCTGTGTCATGGACCTTGGCACGCTCAAGGCAGATTTACAGAACATGTACCGCAATATAAGGAGTCGCTGCTGCAGAAAGAAGGAGGAAACACGCGTCCGACACGTGCGTCATGTGGATCCGTCTATAACAAAAGCAAAATTATTTACAGAGCCAGATTGTACTGTCATTGTGAACTCTGCTACATCCCCAGTTTTGAAAATAACCAAAGAAGACTTGTCTTCACAAAAGAATGACAGGACAACTTTATCAGTTCCTACGAACATTGGAAACGCTAAAACGCAAAGGTTACTTTCGCCGGCATGCACCGGTTCTGTCTCATCAAGAAGTTCCTCAAAGAGAAGTGGGACTGATAGAAGCTCACCTGGATACCAAAGCTCTTTGTCTATACAGTCGTCAAACGCCTCTGGAAATGTCTCCACAATGGCTTCCAGAAAGTCGTCGGCTGGATGTTCAGGAACGTCTTCTTTGAATGACAACGGCAAACCATGTGGAGGTGGAACCCAGTTAAGTAAGTTATCCAGCGGTGACTTTGACGGTGATATTCTCCCTAACAGAGTCAGGAGTACAAGTCTTCAGAGTAGAAACAGAAATCAAAGATACAACAATAAAGAGCCTATCTGGTTACGAATGGTTTGATCCTTGCAGGCAAAAACAGACAAATTTGACCTAGAAAATGCATTCACTAGTACACATGAAGTGTAATAGTGATAAATAGTTTGTGCCCTTTATCACAAGCAGTGATTCAAACGGATTTCAAATACGATGTATCACGTTTCTATGGAAATAAGATTGTGATAAGGTTCGTTCAGACATGACTTGACAATGATACGTCAGGTACAGAGATAGACAATGTGTATCATCCCTGTCGTACCTAGTTGATCACAGGCCAATGTTTTCGTTTGTCGGTGATAAGGATACATGATCTGTCAGCTGGTCAGTCAACGTCCTTCTCCGTGAAACCCGGCTCTCTTTACAGATCGAAGGACATTAACACATCAAAGTAATGTGTAAATCGATTCTTGATTATGTAACTCGCTTGGAAAAATCAGTCAAAAATGTCAAACGTCATGGTAACAGTGTTTGCATTCAGAAAAAAATATATGTAAACACATTTAGAATGTGGTTAATCGACTCATGAACGCGATGTACTTCTTTGAAGCGGGATGTTACACCACACCACTGATTGCTGATAAAATAATGTCCTTCAGCTGACGTGACAATGTGGTTCAATGTCATTTACTTAATTATTGAATCATTATGAATTTTTCAACATTCACGAGGTTATGACATCATTAACTTTCTGGATATATTCCGTGAATAGTGAATGTTGAAAAGATAAAAATGACTCCTTGGTTTACACTACGATTTATTTAAAATGTATCGGTGAACCTAACTAATACTGGGCCTTTAATACATTTGTACGCCTGAGTGACGGAGAATAGGCATTTGCACAGGAAATACCATACTAGCTCGTATGTCATAGTAACTGACGTAACAAATATGTAATGTATTCTATATAGAAATATAGTTCCTTAAACAACATCGACTTGTAAGAAAGGTATTCGTTGTCGCTTGACTTACATTTATAGAGTAACTCAAACATATATACACATTTCACTTTGTTCATTTCCAGTAATAAGATGGTTCGAAGGCGGATGTTTCGATTCAGCAGGTAATTCGGTTTTAGTGTATTTCTACACGGTGCAGTTGCAGTGATCAGGTCATTGTTTTTAAGCAAAACTAAACACGATTATCTCATGCTTTCGGTCATACAAGATGTGAATATAGGAAAATGTATCGACATATCAGGCTTATAGTCTGACTTGTCTTGTTTGACATTCACTTAATATATTACAGTCGTATTTGGGTGTAGACTTTACACCTTAGTTCACTCCTAGTGCACGAGAAGAAAGACTTTTAGTTCACAAGAAAAAGACTACAGGTAAACTAGGGTCCACATAGATAATGTGGGAAAAAGCCCTGATATGTAATTGGTAGAGCTCATGATTAATACTGATTTTTTTTCAAACTGTCTTTCATTCCGCCCACTCTCTCCACATAATTAGATATTTTTGCTTTATTTCGTTGTCGCTAGGATCCACAGTCAGTTCAGGGGTGGTCAGTGTCCCCACTCCCCTCCTCAATTTTTAGAACCAGTAGAACTGTACTACGGGTAAAACTATAACATCTGGTCACCTTGACCAATTAACAGAGCGATTAACTCATCCGTGTCATCACTGTAGCTTGTTTATTCCCTACTCAGGATCGCCACACTCCAGTGCACACACTATACAAATAAGGGACTTCAACAAAATGATTCAGAAGAAAAAACCAATCATGATAAGTTTCCAGTTATATTCAAATGCAATACAGCATATAGGGACAAGTACCGTGTATACGTAATTAAATGATCATAATTCATATATGTGGTATACTAAACAAAGAATAGAATGACGGAAAACGATATTTACCTGTAATTATATCAAATTTCTTATAACGTAATACACGTTTGCAAATTATGGAAGTAAGTTATAAACCTTACATAATTACACCCACACACAAACTTTAACCAAGTTATAACAACACACAAGTGAATGTCTTATATCTGCCTGACAAATGATTCTAAAAACTTAGATATCTTACACATTCCTTGGTGTGAAATGAATTTCTAATCTGTTTACTATTATTTTTTATCATTATTAAAGATTCTGTTTATTATATAACATAATCAGATTGCTTAATTGTAGCCCGACTATGTGTGTAATTACAACCTCACTAATACTCTTGCTATACAGAGTCGGCTGAATTGAACGTTGTACAGTATGTATTATAGCCGTTATAGACAGAAGATCTCCAATTATAGTCACCTCAGTCTGGAGTTTCGCCTCACTCACATCCATAATTACAGTCACCTCAGCCTGGAGTGTCGCCTCACTCACATCCATAATTATAGTCACCTCAGCCTGGAGTGTCGCCTCACTCACATCGATAATTATAGTCACCTCAGTCTGGAGTGTCGCCTCACTCACATTGATTATTACAGTCACCTCAGCCTGGAGTGTCGCCTCACTCACATCCATAATTACAGTCACCTCAGTCTGGAGTGTCGCCTCACTCACATCGATAATTACAGTCACCTCAGCCTTGAGTGTCGCCTGACTCTCATTGATAATTACAGTCACCTCAGCCTGGAGTGTCGCCTCACTCACATCGATAATTATAGTCACCTCAGCCTGGAGTGTCGCCTCACTCACATCCATAATTATAGTCACCTCAGCCTGGAGTGTCGCCTCACTCACATTGATAATTTTCATATGGCTTTCAACACCTGGTCACTTTCTTTTATTCAATAAAGGATTATTGGCCAATACTTTCCTTTACCTGGATCTATCTCCCATGGAGATATATATCGTTTCACTAATTGAAGTCTGTTTTACGTGATGTATTTAGATACAGACGTTTGATTCTGACTGTCATCAATGCATCATTTAAACCTATTGAGATGTATCTATGTTAGTGACTGAAAAAGGTCCCTAACTATTTTACCTATAGCAGAACCTCTGTCATACATAATGCAGCGTCAACATCTGTATAGCTGTACCATTATATATAAATTGCATTCCCAATGTATTGAAATAAATGACTTCTATATAAAACATCAACCTTGGGTCCTATAATTAAGTAGCTATTTCTGAACACAAACTGTTGGCCTTAACACAATAAAATGGATACTTTTTAATGCATAACTCAGAAAATTATGTTTTGCTAGATTTTAAAGTCAAAATATGGAGGACAGAATCATGCTAAAGCAAACACGTTATTGCGCCATTGTCAATTATTATGACATCACAATTAATTTCTGAACAACTGGCACAGCCAATGAAAACGCTCTAAGGTATATAACACTAGTGACATTAGTGATAGCAAAAATATCACATTGGAAAATTCACGGAATAAATGGCTGATTATGTGATAAGTATAATATTGTCAGTTGTCAAGAGTACATTTAATTAGAACTTTTTTCCAAACGGCTTAAATCCTGTTATTATTGATTAAAAGTTTGAAGTAATCAAAATCTTATTACGCTATTATTTGTTCAACATGGCAAATCAATTCCGAATAACCATAACAATGCAGGTTATATTACTCTGACGTCATCGAAACTTAAAATTAAAAGCTTTATAGAAAATTCAAATGAAAGCCTCTTGTTCTATTTTCCGCAAATGGTACTGAATGTACATGTATGAGACAATGACAATCGATTGTTTACCTATACAGGTAGCGGTTCACTGTTTCCCAGTCCACGATACATATATGTATACCAATCTTATCTTCAGGTCATGTACCAGAATCTTGTCTTAGTAATGTACCGCGCACTTACAAATCATGTATATTTCAATTGCTTTTCAGTTATATTTTGATTTGATTTGATTTTTACTATTTATTTAATTTTGATTTATTTAATGACTTTATCTATCTTTTCGAACATAAATTGTTATTCAAAATATCATTTTATGAAAAAATAATGAATGAATGCTCGCAACATCAAATACGATGATATTCTCATCAGAATTAGAGGTTTTGGTAAGACCATAGTAAATTATTCATTTACATCATATACATATTAATATCACTGAAACACCACTGTTAATTCAACCTGATTATATTTGGCCAGTTTTATCAGATGTGCCGCGTTATACACGATTGTACTCTGTTTCTATATATTGTATGTTATGTTCACCTCAGTGTTTAGTTCACGTGATTATAAAATCAATCAAGCTTTCAGAATATCTACACGACAGTTAAGAATCCTACACATATTTTTTGTATGTTCATCAAAACTTACTTTCGAAATATTTTGTAATCAAAATGATTAACATCAGTTTAGTCAGTTCAGACCTTATGTGACAAGGAAGCGAGGTAATACAAAACTCAGTATATATAAATTACAATTGTTAAACTCCTACAAACCTTTGTAAACTGTACACAAACCGAGGAACAAAACAAAAGCATACATTTACCATATTATCTTTTCAACATCCATGAACAAACGGACATAAATATCGATTATCGGAAAGACAATGGACTCGTGTTCACTTACCTCCATATTTTCCTACAGCGAATCCAATAGGAACAGCCTTCCACCAAGCTGTATGATAAACGTGTTGATCTCGTTCGTCTTTCCATTTCTGGATGTGGTAGTAATATTCCTGCATTTATCACTTCTGTTGTATACATGTCACTGTTCATTCAAGGGTTTGTTATTTATATCACGATTTTAATTAAAGATATCGATATAGGTGACAGATAAATTAAGTGTAGTATGAAGACCACTGTGTGAGATGATTTATCTCATCGGGATTTTTTTTCATCTTAAATAAAAAAAATCTCTTTGCCCGTTAGTGCGCCTGGTGGTTTTGAAAACGTACATAACTACTTCGGTGAACATGAGTTTCATGACTAGTGTCGTAAATGTGAAGCAGAAGACGCTCACCCTTCCGCAACACCTAGTCAAACTTTCCTTATACTTTTTTCATCAATTTCACTTTTTATTACGATTGTGCTAAATTGTCTATAGTTCCTTGTTACGGTAGATGAGATTGGAGGGAAAGAAGATTTAAAATATTTATGAAAGG